TTATAGCAATTTAAATACGAGCAATCAGTTTTTGGCAAATACCGGAAATCAGTTTTTGGCAGACAATCACTTTTTGGCACAACATCGGCTATTGCAGTTAATAATACAACAGTTTCTTGCCATTTTTTGTGTTTCTTTTTATCGCTGTGTAACTGAGTTCAATTGAAAGCCTGCATGCGCTAGTACCGCTTGCCACAAGTTCCCAGAATCCTTTGCGGTTTTACCCCTGAATGACGTCACATTTTTGGTGGGCCGGTCTCTAGTCAAAATGCCCGGGCCGATTTTTTGTCCCAGTCCAGCCCTGGTTAAGGGTGAGACTTGGGTGGTCCGCTGTTACCAAGCATGACATGGGACCCCAGATCTTTAGAAGTAAGTTAGGGGAGAGACCCACCCACTTGGATGCTATTGGTCCATTCAGTGGGCGTTATTAGCAGCAATGTTACCGATAACACCCGAAGTGGGTGGAAAATGTTACAGGGCACTAAACCACCAGGATGCAGTGAGGAGGGGGACCTTACAGTTTTACTGTTTCTCTACACAGTTTGTGATTCCAGTAAAATATCCCAGTTTATACCATTACGCTCTGTTTTTTATTGTTTTTTATTGTATAGGATCAAATTTTGATGTCACTCTTGTGCACAAGCAGAATTTTAATGTCTGGATTGTCTTTTGTTTAGACCTGCGAAAGACAATGGGTGGATTTAATGTATGACCTTTGGCCCTTTTCACAGATTGTTTTGTATGTCTTGCATAATTTTATACAACATTGTTGAGGTTTATTGTTTTCTTGTGCACAGACTGTTATGTATGAACCAAGAGTTATTGTGTGCTATGCAAGCCATCGCCAGTAGGGGGCACCACGCCCAGTTATGTGTGTGTGTTACTTTTGTGTTATCCCAATAAAGAAGAAGTCAACTCGAAAACAAACTATTGTGTGTGCAGTCTGACTCGGCATAAGCTCTAATAGTGTGCTGACGCCACAGTGGGAATATAACACAGACATCTGTCTTTTTAACCTTTGGCGCCCTCTAGGGGTTCAAAGAGTCAGGTGTTGGCTGATGGTGAGCCCGGGCTGCTGTTAGCCCTGCCTATCAAACCCTGATGAAGACCGTTCCCTCAGGGCTGAGCGCGTGAGCAATCGCGCACTGCAGACACAGTCTCTGCGCACAGACAATCAGAGAAATAAAATAAATACATGTATTTACTTTAATTCCAATTCGGGCTGGATTGTTTTTTTGTGCGCAGCGCAGATTTTCTGTGTGGGGAGACCATGTAGCAGTGTGCGATTGCTCACGCGCTCAGTTTAGAGGGAACATACCTTGGAGGCAATGTTCCCTCTAATGTTTCATGTGTCTGAGCAAACGCACAAACTCCCTGAGCCAACACTTGGACCACTGTGAGCAAGGCTCCAGCCTTGAGCCCACAACTGGCGGCGAAGGGACAGCTGCATTATCATGGTGATTTTTCTTTTATGCGAACAACTCATGAGAATTTCAAAGCTGTTCTTTAACACTCCAACACTGGTCTCTCAATCTCCCGTTGGAGAGCCGCGAGCTGATGTTATCAAACTTGCTCCGTGGTGTCATTCTTGTGCTCAGAGAGCCGATTCTGAGAACTCACGACTGCAGTGAGCTGCTCCACGATGTGATCCAACTTTCACTCACAGATGTTATTCTGAGTGAACTTCTCCTCGGTGTAATCAAATTTACGCTCAGAGGTCTTATTCTGAGTATTCACTGCAGCTGTAAGCTTCTCCAAGATCTTAACCATGCTGCACTCAGTGAGCCCGTTCTGAGAAGTCGCGCCTCGTCCCATCGTTTCAATCCCAGCGGGCAGCCTTG